GAGGAAGAAAAAAGAAAAGGAAGTGGAAAACGATGGAACCCAAGGAAGAAAAGGAAGACGACGGGTTTTAAGTAAGGAAAAGAGGACAGAAAAGGGAGAGGAGATATTTAAGAGGCAGCAAAAGAAGTAACAAAAAATAACAAGAGGCAATCTAAGCTGGAGGATAGGAAAATTACATATATAGCCTATGCGGTCCAGACGAGGGCAACGTTCTTGAACTGAAGCCGCACATTATTCACACGCCTCATCAAGTGTAACCTGTAGGCATGAAGAAATTTCCAAGTAAAAACTATGTATATACATTATAATAATAATTATAATAATAATATAAAAAAAAAACTGAACCATCAGTGCTAAACTCTATACTACAAAGGATGAATCGATCTTGGAACTTGGATATGCATTATATATATATATATATATATATATATATATATATATATATATATATATATATATATATTATAATACATATATATTATATATATTATACACATTTACATTATATATATATTATATATATATATATATATATATATATATATATATATATATATATATATATATATATATATATATATATAATATATATATATCCCAGCATACCTCTCTATAAATCATAATGTTTTCCCATTTCCACCGTGGCCTCTGATCCTTAACTTAAGATACACCAAAAATCTTGAACCCAAAGAAGAGAAGATAGGCCTATACTAAAATAAAACATGCCTTCTCTAGCAGTCAAGTAGCTCTTACTAACAACTTCCACCCCTGCCAAACATCCTCTTCCTTCATTCCGGCCCCAATGTAGGCCTCCTTTCCCCTATCCCGTCGTTGTACAGCCTGGATTAGGCCTATTGTTACCGAAAGAGTGGAAGAGGGAGGCTGCCCACCCGCCAAACGGGGCCCCCGCCTAACCTCTGAGGGAACTTAACATCCATATTCGTAGTAATCGTTTTCTGGGACAATAAATATACACTGGTCGACGCCCTTTGTTGAAAAGACCCCCCATCCTTACAACCACCCCAATTCCCTTCCTCTGTCTCTTCCCTTCCCCCCTTCCCTCCCCCTCCCCCTCCTGGCCACACTAGCTTGTTCTCACGCCGTAAACAAGTCAACATTCTCACTTACAAATGGAATTCCGGTGACTGAGCACGTCGAGATTCCGGCCTGGACAAAGCTTAAAGAATGGCGAGAGCTGATGTCAAAGGACTCTTTCTTTCTCTCACTCTCTTTCTCTCCCTCTTCAGCCATCTTTAACCTTTCTCTCTCTCTCTCTTTCTCTTTCTTCTGAATTTTATCTCTCTTTCTCTCAATCTAACAAATTCTACGATGCAAGAACAAAACCAAAGAGACAAAAGGAAGCCGAAGAAGGATCTACAAGGATGAGAACTTCGTAACTTCCGAGATAACTTGGTATTGTAAAAGTGCGTACTATGCCTCGTTAGTCAACATAAAGCCATGGTCATCCCGAAAGCTACATAAGGTGCCATGGAAAAGACAGTAATCGAAACTGCATTCCCATTTCCAAAAAAACGTATTTATTTTTTTCATCGCAGAACTCTCATTTCTCCCCCTCCCCCTCTCCTCCCTCTCTCTCTCCTCTCCTCTCTCTCTCTCTCTCTCTCTCTCTCTCTCTCTCTCTCTCTGGCGTGTGTGTGTGTGTGTGTCTCGGAGCACAGTGATCCTTCTTGCATCACCTGGACAAAAGCGGGCTGAATGACAGGTCAGGATACTGAGTGAAGAGGATCTGGATAGGCGAGGAAGAGGGGGAAGGATAAGTTCCTAGAAAGACTTCAACTGGCAAGAGGAAGAGGGAATTGACGGCGATGAACAACTGAACATCAGAGCCGGGAGAGAAGAGACATGGCAAGTGATGAGAACAGGAGGAATAAGAGATGAAAAACATAAACAATGAGATGGAGAAGAGAATAAGTTCAAAGGAAGGGATTATAAGGGTAAACAAGATATGCTGAAATTAAGTGGAAAAAGGAAAGTTTTCAGGAGGACTCCCCCTCCCCCTAAAAAAAAAAAAAAAAAAAAAAAAAAATGATGCAGAAAAAATAAAGAAAAATGTGATAGGGGATGAGAGCCAACATGCACCCCAAACAAATGGAATGCCAATTACAGGCATAAGAAAATCAAATAAAAAAACTGAAGATATAAAAAGAGGAAGTGAGACTATGTGCACGAAAATTGACAGTAAATGTATTATAATGAAAACAAGGCAAATACAGTGACCAGAATACAACATTGAGTATATGGTGTAGACATTTTAATAACGGATACACATAGCAAATAAAGAAACGGCTAAAAAAAAAACATACACATTGCAAAAAAAAGGTAGGTGAAAAATGGCAAAAAAGGCAAGAGTTAATAATGACGAATGTATAATACTTACTCTTAGAATAGTCTTTGATGAAGTGCACTTTAGATACAAAATCACAGTGATCAGATCAGTATGGTGGCGGAGGCAGTGGTGATGTTAGAGCGGAATGGAAGGGAGGGGGGAGGAGGGGGGAGGTGTACGGCGTCCCCCCCATGGTGCCGACATGTGTAATGACGACCCCTGTGGTGTGACATCTCACTCCATCGCGGCGCCACAGCTCGCTTCAACCTCTGTCTCTCTCGCCGACGCTTTCTCTCCAGATATCTATTTTCTTTTTGAACTTTTTTTTCTTTTTCTTTTACTTTTACACTTTGTTTTGTCCATGTCATCCGCCCCTCCTACTTAATTCTCGTATACCATTTGCATATATTCTTCTCTAGGTATTTGATTTACGAGTATATGGCCTTTATTAATCGATCCTCTAAACTCTATTTTGTGACTTCGATTTGATTTTATGGCTGCATACCTTTCTTCAACACGCATCCTCTAAAGTAGACGGGATTATGTTGATCTTTCTCCAGACTATTCTTACACCTCTATATTCTACATTTTTTTCCTGCTCATGTTTTTTCCTCCCGTCTAAATCTTCTTCTCCCCTTCTCTGTTCTTTCCCTCTGTTATTTCACATTTTTATCCCATTCTTACTCCCAAACTTTTTACTTATACCCGTTATTTTCCTACCTCCCATTTTCACATACGTATGCATATCAGCAAATAAATCCCCATGCATCCCGAGACAACAAACACACTCCCTGAAAGCGACCATCCTATCATCCACTGCTATCCCGATGAGAGAAAACCAGCACCATATCCTAAACCCCAGACACTCATCCACGCAAAAAGGCCGCAACAACCCACGCTCTCCACTCCAACACACGCACCCACCACAACGCCCAGCATCACAGCTCTCCACCACAACGACTCCACAAACACAGCGCCGCCAACAATCGCCAACCCGACGAGGCGAGGGCGGCGATTCCACCTCATCCTGCCCCTAACAGACCCTGATCGCTGGCGTTACGCACTTTAGCACATGTTATACCGGCGGGGGTTCAGTGAGGAAGGGCTGGAGGTTGGAGAAGGGGGGGGGCAGGTAGGGGAGGGAGGGGGAGGGAGGGGCAGGGAGGAGAAGGGAGGGGAAGGTAGGGGAGGGAGGGAGGGAGGGGCAGGTAGGGGGTTGCAGAGTGTTTGGAAGAGGAGTTGCCTTGAAGGAAGAATGGGGAGGTCACTTGGTCATTATTTGAAGATACGATGAATCAGGAAATAAATGTATAACGAAATCATGGATGGATAAACAAATGTAAAAAAAATACCATGAAGGGGAAAATGATATAAAAATGGGTAGACAAATGCAATAAGATGCACATGAATGGCTATATAGATGTACGAAGATACCATGAATAGGAAAACAAAGAAATGCTGATACCACGAGTTGGGAAATGCACGCAAAATAAATGTGTAAAGATACCAAAAATGCTGCAACATAAACATATAGGTATCACTGCTCCACTCCAGACGCCAGTATCACAGAATAAACTGATTTAGCGACGGTACCATTCGGACAAATTATTTTAACGACCTCGTATTAAACAGCAGTGGGCGACCCGGTGGGCGTGCTCGTGAGTGGGCAATCGGTGGGTCCAGTGGGCAGATAAGTATGAAATTAGGCGGGCGAAGGTCGGCTGTATGGTAGCCATTCATCATTTCAACCGACCCAAGAGAATCGGTCGGCGCCCTTCCATAA